CCGTCATTGCAACCAATATACAAATTTATTATAAACAGATTGATACGATAGAAAATATTGTCGATCAAGACAAACGCGTGATCGGCAAAACTTTGAATTTGGTGGATGATGAATGGAGCGCAACGTCTTAAAGATGAATGATCATTGGGAAACAATTTGAAATTCGACGAGTAAACTATGACCATAACATTAGTTAGGTGAGTAATGAAACGTATGGTTTCGCCGAGTTATCATTTTTTAACAGATGAATATGTTGCCTAGATTTTTTGGTCTGACACGTTAGCAAAGAGGAAAATGGAATTTGACGGATGATGGATGGTATGCAACATCTTAAAGATGAGTCACCATTGAATATTTATTTACATGGAAGAGCATTTTTAATAGACTATTTAAATATAAGATTCTCTATTTCTTAAAGAGTCAACTTTTAAAATTATGTTCTAACAGATTCTGCAAATTCACATTTTTAAAATAGAGATTGAATAAACTTACTCTTTAAAATTAAATACATTCAAAGCATTTCAATAGAGAAAAATAATATAATAATTTGTAGGTGAGCCAGCGAAAAGAAAAGATATTGTAGTAGTAAAATTAAGTGTTAAAATATTTTAAAAATTTCTCTCTAATGTGTTGAGCCACATTATTTTGGAATAACAGATTGATGGAGAATGTGTGGTTGGAAAATAATGAAAAATTATTGATGTGATGTAAAATATTATTTTATTAAAGAATATGTTGTTGAAAATGAGTAGAAGAATGAGAATGAAAATTTTAATGTGGCTCAAATAAGGGAAATTTATAAATATTCTCTAAATTGCTAAATATGATTTTTGAAAATAGAAAGTTTCTTGAAAATGCTATCGTGTCTCTTTAAAGTGTGTAACAAAAAGGGAAAGATTTACACTGTTATTTTGGAGTCATATATAGTGGATATACCATAGGGGAATACAGGAGGATACAAAAATGTTTGCCGATACTGTTGTGAAGCTAAATCTTGGGAAGTGACGACAACGATTGAGTAGTCGTGGTCTTGTGGATTTTGATGGGTTGTCGTGTTTGTATTTTATTTAAAGATAAGAATAAATTTGTCTCTCTAAAAATAAGAGGGTCTTACTTTTGACTAAATATATACAAACAACATTTTTTAATAACCCCACTACATTTTAATTGTATTGAAGGTTCATAACTTCTATACATTATCATATTTATTTTTTTCATCGCATTCTTACTTTGAAATTAACATACATTATTGATAATTATGATTTTCTCTCCAAAACTTTCTTTCAAATAGAGTAAAAAGAAGCATTTTTCCATTGTATTTTAAATAAAAAAAATGCAGTTGCGATCAAATAATTGAGGACAGTAATATTTTTGGACGAAAATCATGATTGAGGACAATATTTTTTATTAATAAAATGTTAAAAACAAGAATGCAACTAAGAAAAAAAGTTAAAAATATAAGTGTCAAAATGAATAAAAGTTAAATCACCTTCAATATAATTAAAATGTGGTATGTAATCACCTTTTTAACCTCCCCCCTCCTCTCCTTTTTTTGAAAAATTTATTTTACAATAATGATTTGATGAAGATCATATGGTTTCTATAAGGGTGCGTTTGATTGCAATGGTGGAAAATGGATGGAAAGAAAATGAATTTCAGAAAAAATAATTGCCTGGAAATTGTTTTGTAGGGAATTGTTAATTAAGTGTGTTTAATTGGTATAATTTTCCACCCAACAAAATTTTAAAATTTTATATTCGTTTGACTTTGTTTTATATGAAAATTATCTATTAAAGTGATAATTTTTTCCACAATTAGTTATAAAATTTGTTTCCATTGTCAAAAAGTTTAAAAAAAAAATGAAAAAAGAATTTTTTTCCTAAAAAATCATTT